ACTTTCACAAGACTCACAGGCCTTCCAAGCCTTGCCAAGTAGTAGCTTGGGTCTGTTTTCCACCATGTTGTTGGTGATAATCTTTTCTGGATGATAGCAGCTGGAATTAATGACAGGTATTGAGGGGAAGGTTTGTTCTTGTTTGTTACATTTTAACATTTAATAACCCTGGTGTCATAAATTAATCCCTGATTTCATGTTTAAAAATGCAAAATGCTTTCTCTTGTATCTTCCATTCTATTAATTCATTTGGGAACATCCCATTGTGAAGATTATCCTGTGAGTGTGCGTGCGTGCAAAAGTACATGACACAGAGGTCGTGAACATTTCAAAGTTTCTACCAAAACTGAGGCCATGCATGCTGGATATGATCTGAAAATTCTACACCTTGCGAAGAAAGCACTTTTTAATTTCAATCAGGCTCAGCCTCTGAGTCACAAATATTCTCATTTGTACAGTTGGGAAATAAATGCTTCACAAACTTGACTTAGTTAACTTAGTTAAGTTTCCTGGATTCTAGTCCCACTTTCTAGAAGTGGAATTGAACTGATTTTTATTAGGAGTGGGTTCACATATGAGGCAAAACCATCCTAACTCTATTCATCAGTTACAGTGAATGCACGTTTCAGTCTATGTGCAGCAACACTTGTACAGGTGCATGTGTGATTGAAACTGCACATTCATCCAGGTCCTAGTCCCTGGTTTCATTTGTAAAGTGGATGTACATGGGCTCTTTCTTACAAACAGATGTAAACACATACATGCAGGATGTACAGGTTTTCACTGCAACATGTGAACGGGGCTCTTGCAGCTCAGCTTGGAATGTTTGGAAGTGGCCACATAAACATGCTGCTCCCCAGTGAAAGTGAACAGAGCCTTGAAAACCTGGATCATTTCCCACATTGCTTCAGGCCGCCCTACGAATAGCCAACAGTTCAGTGTGTTTATTGTAAGGATGAACAGAACCCCTCAGTCCCACTCTGCTGATATTCTGTGCTTACATTGTGCTTTGGATTTTACTCTACTTGCCTTGTGGCAAGAGAATACAATTTTGGAAAGTTGATACTAGATTTTGTGCAGTTAAAAAGTCTCCCCCCCCCCTCCCATGGTCTTCCCTGAATGGAAAAAAAAATGTATTTATTTTTGTTTTCTTTCCACAGAAATGTAACAGTGTTCTTGTCCAAGAATAAAACTGATATTAAAAATAGCAGTCATCTAAACTAACCCCATTTCTGACGCCAAAGAATTGTTTAGTTTTCACTTTTCCTTAATTTTATTTTACTTGTTAATATCTTTTTATTTTTAAACTGAGAAAGTAAATTAACTTCTTGTGTGCTTTTTAAATTTCATTTTACTTATTGGCTTTTTTATGCTGCACAAGAATGCAGTTGCAGTCTTATGCAACATGAAAACAAAATACACTCAAATTATTGCACGTCAGAAATTTTTATTTTATTGTAACTTCTTTATAAAGCACATTTTCTGGAAATAAAACTTTTAAAACGATATTAATTCCTCTACTGTGGATTCTACGCTGGAATATTTCTAGTAAACCACAATCTCAAGCGATCTTTAGAAATTCTGCATGGTATGATTTTATAAATGTCACTAGATTATTGCCTCCGACTTGATGTCCTCCCCTCCCACCTGGACCAGCCAGCCCTGCGACAGAAGGACTGAGCACAGCCCATCCAAGCCCTATGCAGGGGAGACAGACAGACCCCAGTCTGCTGGGCCCCGCATGTGAGGTGTGTGGCAGTGGCACCTGATCCCACTCCAGAGTATAGTTTTCTTGAGTATAGGGTGCCAGGGGTAGGGAAGGATGAAAAACTGAAGATGGGAGGAGATAAAGCTAGGTCGATTGGTGGATGGAAAGAAGAA